TTGGCTAACCTTAAGGATAATCAATGCATCAATTATAAAGAAGAGATTACGTTATCAACAGCGTGGCTAGCGTTTATGAATAGTAATTTATGATAGCCCGTTTGGAGTCGACTGCGCATGACATACAACGACGGAAACGGGAAACGTGCATTCGAACTTACATATTTCGAATTTAAAGTTTTTACGAGCTGCATTTTCCATCAGAGATTCGAAAAAACCTGAAGAAGAACCGGTTAAGGGTTCGAAAACGTTAGTTTTGATTCGTGTTGGATCGTTAAGAGTTAGTAGACACACCGGTAACAGGTTAGAAAGAGGTAATTATATTACTTGATTCTAATTACTCGACTCCTTCTACTGCTAGAATTCTAACTAGTTAAAGTCAGCTTGTTTTGTCTATGGTAACATCTTTAGTCTTGTTGTACAATTTTCAAGCTGGCTGCTCATGCTGGACTAAATATATTTTCTATAATGATCACAAAATTATTATAATTATGATTATGTTGTCATTAAATGATGATAAAATTATGATGATTACATCATTCACCATTTTTATGCATGATCATTCTAACTTGCTAACTTGGTATGCTGTTCAAGGATACTCAGAACTCTTCCTAGCTCTGTCCTCTTAGCCAATTAGATTTCTTACTTAGCATTCTGCAGTACTGAATATGGCTCAGCTGTATTCTCACTTTTCCAACTACATGTCCACAGTCTGTTGTGCTTTCATAGTATGCTGTGTACAGAATGGCATAGTATTGGAACAATTTATATTACTCTAACAAAAATCGCTTAGAGTCCAAAGAAGACAAAATGATACTGACAATGTTCTGTGTGAATTGCATCAGATGATATGGCACAGCTTGTGTTTGGTTGAGGAGACAGTGGAGAAAAGAAGCTACTAATTTTCATTTAAGTTTTTCAAAATTTTATCCAACTTAACACAGCTCTATTGTACATAAAATGATTATAATAATTATATCTGAGATTCATTCATTGTTTTGTTCATTCACAAAATTAATTTCTGTAATTACAAATATATCTTCAAGTAGACAAATAATGACATTCTTACATCAGTAAAGGAATGAAGAGTAAATTCTTAACATTTCTATACAGATGCAAATTACATGGTAAGCACCAAAAGTTTCTGGCCTAACTATATTTGGTACTTTTTGGTTAATGGGATGCCAGCTGATATGTACAGCAATGGGTAAGATTCAAGCTTTGAATGAGGACTTTCATACCACCCCAGAATTGTTAACCCTCTGCGAAATATTTGTCTCCAAAGGTCAGTTTTTAACATGTATCAGTATACTGTCTATTCTACATGCTTTGCATGTAGATATGTGCCTCAGTGCATGCTGTCGCTTGCACCTTAGTGCCTGGGTGGGGGCAAGTCCCCAACCAGACACTAAAGTGCAAAACTATATAAAATATACTGCTGGCCAAGTAAAATGCAACACCTGCAATACCTGGAGTCCTACATGGTGTTGCATTTTACTTGGCCAGCACTGTAAGTATTCCACGAACAGTCAAAAGGGCTACTCAAAGCTGGCACAGTTGCATGGGCTAAATTGTTCAATGTGATAGTCTTTCATGATCATCTTCTGGCATCTCATAACCGAAAAGAATCCTATATTTTAGACATAATGGGAATAAAATAATGATAGTATCAGATAGCATCATCTGGATGTGGACTAATAAAACAGTTTTTCCCATGCAATTTGCATAAGTAGTGTGGAAACATTCATTTTAGTTAGATTTGTTGCATTAATTTGCATCATGTTCACGTCTTGCAGGACAATGTGCCAGTGCACACAGCTACCATTGCCAGAGCTGCTATGAAGGAGTGTAGATTTAAGAAGCTTTATCATACATTCTACAGCTTGGACCTGGCTCCTAGTGATTATTATCTGATTCCAAAACTCAAAAAAGACCTTCAGAAAGTGATGAAGAGTTGTAAGGTGCAGTTTATGAGCATTTTGCAGACAAAACTGTGGACTATTTTTTCAAGGGTATTGAAATGCTAATTCCAAAATGTAATAAGTGTGTTGAACTGTAAGGAGACTATATTGACAAATGACATCATTGTTGTATACCTCTAACATTTAAAATATAGTTAGACCAGGAACTTTTGGGGTCTACCATGTATATCTGACATCTTATAATTTATAATCATTAAGATGGCAAATGTTTAGAATAGTGTTTGAAGAAATTTTTGTTATGATTATGTATGTAAATACAATACAAATGCAATATATATAATTAAAATTATAGAAGAAACTAAGTCATCTTCACACTTTTGCCATGTCCAATCACCAGGAACAAAATTTTGGTGATTCCTGGTGTTTGGAAATGGTGGAAGTGTGAAAATGACTTATTTTCTTTTATTTTTTTTAATTGTGTAAAAATACCATCTGCCATTTTAATTGAAACAAGTAAAATGGCAAAACTGTATTTGGGACAAGACTGTGTCTCTGAGACGGAATCACTTTGATGCTCAAGGCAGGTCTCATTCTCATTCTCCTATCATCTTTGATATCACTGCTTTTGGGCGCGATCGTTCAAACTTCGCCGGCCAGGACCATGAGATCGTCCACAATGCATCTTCGATGAAATTAACTTATCTAATTTCAAAATTTCTCTCTGTTGTGTGTCAGCCCAGGTTGAATTTTAGTTGATGCGTAATGAAAAGTTCCCATTTTTGAAAAAATAATCATGGCTATTGTATCATCCGAAATAATTTTTTTATTTTGCACAAACAATATACAGTTTAACCCGATTATAATGTCATCGAATGTAACGACAACCCTAATATAACGTCAAATTTTTATCGGTCTTACGATTTTACTATACTAGATAATGTTAAAAAAGACCCACTTGTAACGACATAAAATCATTTTAACGTCATATTTGAAGCACTCCCAAATTTACAAAATTAGATTACAAATTTTATTTAACCTAGAAGAAACTACGTGTTCAATCCAAGGTCAGAGTTCACTTCTTAGAATGACTGTGGGTGGTACTCTCCCCTACCTGACTTCGGTGGGGTGAGGTGGCTATTTTGCCTATTTGTAGAAGAGGGTCACCATTTTGTATTTTATTTTGTTCTCAGTCCCCTGACTACCTATGAGTCTGGATTTTTTTATGCACAAATGATTTGGGCACCTAATACTCTGTGCCAAATGTCAACTCTCGACATGTACTCCTTCATACCTCTATGCTGGTAAGAACGGGTGGCAGTACGATTTTATAAACAGGACATAGTCTTGTCAATTATGCTTTATACATAACATATTGTATACAGTAAAATACAAATAGCAATTATATTGAATATATTAAATAGGCAACAATGATAAAAATCAGTTCCCATGCTTTGCTAATCAGTCTAATGAATTGCAAAAACAGAAAAGTATGAAATAAGCTTAATATTATATGAAAGTTAAGTCTAGGTATGCTATTGCAGATTATAATAAAACAAAGCCTATATGAAAATAATAATTAGCCCAACTATATGTTCCTCATAACTGACAACTTGACTAGATATTGATGCTGTTTATCATCACAATTTTGCTGCCTCTGAGCATTGAAATTATTAAAAAATAGTTTTAAAATTATTATTATTATTATCTTATTAAAATTCATAACAAATATGAATTGACCAAATTAAAACGTAACAAATTTTTTTATAGTAACTGGAAGAAAATTGAAGTGATTAATTTGAATTCAATAAAAATAAAAATATTGACAAATTTACAATTTGATAAATTAAATTAATATTGATAAATGAAACTAGCCTAAAGATATTAAATAAAACTATGAAAGAGAAACATGACCGAATTTAGAAATAGATTCTAATAGTAGTAATATTTAATTCTTAATGATTTCTTGCAATGGAAAATAAGTTTTTTGTTAAATTAAATTTTCTTGTTTCTTATATTTTTAATTATATTTTAATGTGAAATAATAGAGGAATATTATAAAATGTATTGTTTTCCACTTCTCTTCCTTTCTTCATATATCATTTATTAATGTATTGACTGATTTATTTGTTAACAGTGTTTTTTTTTCTTTGGTAGGTAAATTTAGTTCAACATAGATAAATTTTTAGTTCTGTAAAACTATTCTAAGAGTTAGATTGGTTTTAATGAAAAATTAATTTACTTTATTTTTTAAAGTCGCTGTCATCAGATGAATCTGAACTTGATTTATCAGAAAATAAAAAACGATTATGGTGGCTAGATGGTGAAGATGATGGAAATGTAAAACAGAAAGGTATGATTTTATTTTTTACTGAATTTTTATTGTTATTTATTAAAATTAAATTCATTTTTCACAATGTCATTATTAAAGTAATGAGCCTGAAGTTTTAACTATAGCAAATCTATTCTATTTAATATTGCTTTTATTCCATTTAATTATTTCTAATTTTATTTTGTTTAATTATAATTAAGTAATAACAATAATTTTCATATAATGGACATATCACACATTAATAGCCTAATTTATATTAATATATCAATTTATATTTGTTTAGATGTATGCTTATGCCAAAATGCATTTTGGACCTGATGGTCTTTCTTCAATTGGTTTTTGTTATAAATGTATACATAAAAATTAAATTTAATGTATATTATTCAAAATAAAGATTTGTTTATTAATAGAATTTTTAAAAAGATTTCCAAATATTATAAATATGTTATGTAAATGTGTGATAAAATGTTTATTTTATATATTTTTTGTTATTTCTCAGAGTCAGCAAATAGGCATTCTTGGTTAAAGAAAGTTGAAACAAAAAAAACAGATGAAGATCAGAAAGATTCAGATTCACAAACTATTAAAGAAATTATTGGTATAATATAATTTTAAATGTTAACTTTTAATTAGTGTAAATGTTACCTCAATTGTATACATTTAAATTTTCAGAATCAAAATCTGCTGTACAAGAAACAACTTCACAGGATAAAGAAGTTGAAAACTTGTCATCGAAACAGGAATCTGAAGCAGGTATAATATATGAATATACTTTGTATGAAGTAAAATTATTTTTCAATTTTAATAAATTTTTATATACAAATTTTGAATTGGAAGATATTCATAGAATAGATTTATCAGAATATTATTTATAATTACACATTTTCAATAATTATTAATAAGAAGGTTCTTAGAAAATAGTGTTACAATCTTTTTTAATAATTTATTTTATAGCAAAATAAATTATTTGTATATCATGCTTTTTAATTTTAGAAAAAACCAAAAGTAAGTTGTTTTTTTATATAAGAAAATAAGGATTGGATTATTTTATTGTTCTACTACTATCAATTTTGTTTTTACTATTTGTTAATAACTTAAATATAGAGTAGGATTGTGTTTATATGTTATGTGTGTGTTTATGATCCTTTTATATGCAAAGAGTAGTCTTAGGAGTATACTCCCAAGGCTTTGTAAAGCAGAACCCCAGGAATATAATATATTTAAAGAATTAAGCATTAAAACTTTATTATTTTCGCTTAATTTTTATTTATAACTTTACTTGACTTTATGCAGATGTTAAAAAGTCAGATATTCAAACCCATATCCAATAATTCTATATTTGATTATAAAACTTCATTACATAGATAACATTATATTTTACAATTATTATATTAATAGTCATTACTATTCAATGTACAAAGTGTTAACAATAAGACTAGCTTATTTTTGAGAGGTGACAGATCAAAAAATAAGTTTACTTAGGAAAAAATACTATCCTAAAATGCTTGGTTTTCAAGATAAAGAAGGTTAAAAATGTAGGCTTCCTGTAGCATAAACGATATAAAAAATTTCTACTAAATATCTCATGCTGTTTCTGAAATATTAAAAAAAAACGAATATTTTTGTAGTATATTAACCTCCTTTATCTCAAAAACTAAGTGTTTTAGGGTACATTCTTTTTCCTAATTACATTTATTTATTGATGTTCTATCACCTTTCAAAGTTTGGCCAGTCTTATTATTAAAGCCCTGTAAAATATAACACTCATAATGATGATAAAAGTATGCAATTTGTTTTAGGGATACTACAAATATTTTGGAAGCATTAAATAAGTAGTAATAATTTTTAAATAATTTTTTAAATTGTGAGAACTCTTATCTATTCTAGCATGATATTAGAAAGAAATGTATATTTTTTTCTTGATGATATATGAATTATGACAAGTCTTTGGCTCTTATCAGATAAAAATATACTAAAAATATGCATTGATAAAAAGTATATCAATCAATCATATCAATTTTTAAAGATAATGATAATTTTTATATTTCTTGATAAAGCAGTTTTTATAGTGAATTTATGACTGTAAATACTTGAGAGAAAATTGCCATTATCATTTTTAAGATAAATAACAGTCTGATAAAGAGTAATGATCTTTACATGACCTTAACTGATCTATGATTCACTCTTAATTTTTGAAATTATCTTTAGAATCTTTACAGAGAAATTAACATTTTGGATATTCAACTTTATTTTCTTTTATTGTTTCTTATTGTAGTATTTTTCTAAAAGAGATGTATTGTTTTAATTATTTTTTAATGGTATTGAATGGTGCTTTTGTATTTATCATCAGTATATTCAATTTATATGCTTTTTAAAATGTTATTATTAATAATGAAAAATTATTTTATTTTGAAGGAACTTTTAAAGAATATTTACCCAATATTATTTATATTAATATAATGTTAATAAATAATGAAAATAAAGTATATATTAGTTTTTTTTCCATTAGTTAATTTTATCTTATAATATATTTCAATTTAATTTTTACATTTATTTATTTGGATGGATGGATTTATGTTTGAAATGATATTTATCAAAACAGATACAAAAATTAAATAAACCTCTTTTTTTGTAAATAGAACATATCTGCTTATTCTGCTTATTGAGTTTAAAATTTACTAGTTTTTGTGACTGCAATTTAAATGAAAATTTAATATTAAATATTTTAATGTAATTAATTATGGGATTTTAATTATTTATATTTAATTTTTATTGCATAAAAATAGTTCTAATAAATGTTTTATTATTCTGAAAGCTTATTTCAGACAACATATTAAAAATGTTTTGATAGTTTTAGTATTGAATATTTAGATAATAAAATGTAAATTTGATATACCATACATAAGATAAATAGATTAGTTAGATGATAATAATAGATTTGATATATCATATTTCTCAATTATAAGAGAGACTTTATCCATTTTTTACTTGTCCAAAATTGAAATATGTCTTAGAATTGATAGTGTTTTACATTTTCAGTCAAAAAGAACAATCAGAAGTTATTGCAAGCAGACATCATAATGTGTTATGCACCATTAACAGACATTTTTGGCTGCTTTACTCAGTAATCATATTAACTCATATGAACTTATGTGTAGTTCATATATAGATACTGAATGTTTAATTTAATTGCTTTTTTAATTTAATTTTTAATGTTTGAAATGCATTTGAGACAATGCTATGATGCATTCTTAAAATGAGCAGTTATTATTGTATGCAGAAGAGTGCTGCCAAATATTTCTTATTTTATGGTATTTATATTGTTTTTTTATCCTGTTATTACTTGACAAACGTTGAGAAAATTGATTATTTAAAAATTTTTTCAAATATAAACATCAAACCTGATAGTTATATATTGAAGCCAAATGATTGCCAGATTATAGCAGTAATAAAGCCTGATATAATCTTGCAATCATTTTGCTTTAATATAAAAATTTTTTCTTTTATAAAAGATAATTAAAATTCATTTTTAAATTCATAGTGCATCTTAGAATTGGTGGTGTCTTAGAATGAAAGAAATACAGCATATATATAAGTAATATGAATTATAATTTATGTACTTTGTACAATTAAGTTTCTGTAGATAATACAAATTAGTCAAACTTAATTTAAAATGATTTGAGTAAAAATGTATTTTTAAAAAATTAAATATAATTAGACTAAGGTTCTACTGATATGGAAAAGAGATGAGAAGTAAAACAGGGAAATTTACTTTTATTTATTTGTTGAAAGGATGACCATTGTCAAAGGAAAGGCTAAAAAATCCTATTGACTGGCTTGCAGGTTTTTAAAGCTACATTTGCTTTTTTTTCATGTATAAGTCTGATTTATTTGAAAATGTGATGTAATATTTAATATTGATTTCTAAACATTATAAAATAGTTTTGAAACTTCATTAAATTCAGTGATTAATTTAGGAACTTTTTATATATTTATTGACATTTTATATATTTGTAGAAACATCACAACAATCGCCTAAATAATTGGGCTATAACTCCACTAATTTTAATAATTAATACTAAGTAATTTGCTACTAGAGGTAGATGTTAGGTGCCATCTCTTAAGTAAATTAATAATTCTAATTCTAATTGCTGTGTGACGGTGCAACTGGCAAGTGCACTGCATGGAGGTTGTGGGTTCAAGCCCCACTCTGCGTCAGTTTTTTTCTTCCAGATGGTTCTAAATTATTTAATACATTATTAAAATTATAATTATTAATTTAGTTAAGAGAGGGTGCCTAACGTCTACCTTTAGTAGCAAATTACTTAGTATTAATTATTAAAATTAGTGGAGTTATAGCCCAATTATTTAGGCGATTGTTTGGTGATGTTTCTATGTACATATCGGACTTTGTGATGTTTGTTATCTGTTAATTTAATACTGATGTTTGTTATCTGTTAATTTAATACTTGTGTATCTGTGGTGTTGTCATCAATTTTATTTTGAATCCAGAATTTAACTTATATCTATCTTTTGTGATCTTTCTGCCATTTTAGTAAATTTTCTGTTAGACTTAGGGATAATTTTTGTCATAATTCTGTTTCCCAACATTGGAAAAGATGATGGATGTTGAAACTGCATCTTCTGCCAAGTATTCTGTTTTCTCCTCTCATCATAGCTAGTGGATACTCATCTTTAATGGAAAGACCTGTTTCCATTTATTAGAGATTTTTCACAATTTTATTTTACAATTTTTTAGAGATTTCTGAAAAGTTTCTAACAAAGATTAACACTGCTCAGTTTAAAATCTACTCTCATCATGATATAAATGTGAATGTTTTAAAAGACATCATATTTAGGAAACAGTCTTTATTTATTCTCTTTGTAGATAATAATTATCATCAGAATATTTTTATTTAGCATTTGTTTTCAAATATGTTTTTGTGTTAGTAGAAAGATGATGATAAGTAATTTTGTATTTGAAAAAATGTGAATAAAGACAAATTTTAAAATAGAAATCACAACCTAATTGTATTTAGTCTATTTTATCATTATATTCAGAATCTATAGCTTTAAAATAATATCTTTGCAAAAATATTATGATCTGAAAATTATTTAAGTATCTAGCTGAACTACCTATTGAAATTCTGTATAATAATAATTTTAAATAGTTAAAAATAGTATGTAAATGTAAACATTTTAATTTATAATTTTTTGTATAAACAAAGATATTTCATTTAATTAAACTAGGCAAAGAAAATGTTTTTACATTTGATTCTAAGAGTCATGTCTCTGAAAAGGTAAAATAGATTTTTGATATTTTAAATTAAAATTTTAATCATAAGAAACTTAAATGAATACATTTAAATTTGAAATTTTAGCCTGAAATATTGACTTCAGATGATCAGACTCTTGTACAAAGTTTACCTGATGATGACTATTCTGAAGATACCTTTAATACTTTAACATCCAAAGATGAAATAGCAGGTGATATTTAAATACATGTACAACACATGCACATTTTATATAAACTAATAGATTAAAAATTCATGTTAAACTAATCTTAACAAATGAATATTTAGAAGAAGAATCAAATATTTCAAGCCACATAACTTCAGAAACCACTAAAAATCCAAATGAAAATAGTACTAATAATAGTGAGAAAGTAGAAATCATTTCATCACCTGTCTTACCAAGATTAAAAGAGCAAGAGAATAAAGCTGAAAAAACAGAAATTAAAAGTACTGTTGATTTACTACCAGAAGCAGATGACTTAATAGATAAGAAAAATGATCATATGAATCATGTTGATAGTGGTAAGCATTTAATTCCTTTTCTTAATTTACTAATTTAAAATAATAAATTTATAATTGTTTTTATTGTATTATTTTTCTCATAATTGTCATTGAAATGTAAATCTGAAATACTATAATTTTGGGCAGATAACCCTTAAAAGCATGTCTTGCAGAAAATTGCAAGAACAAAAAGTAAAGCTTATATAACATGCCCTATCATATACCCTATTATATACCCTGTATCTTGGGGTGGCTATTGAAAGCATGTTTGCAGTTTAGAAGTTGCCATCATAACTTCTGAAATTTTTTATCCAGATGAAATTTTAGTTATATTCATTTTATGTTCTGATGGAAAGTATAGGCTACTTATTTTGCAGAAATATTAGCTATAGAATAAATGTTTTATTGATTTTGCATTGGCAATTGCACTTATGTTGCAGTGATGTCAATGACCTCATTTAGTTCATGCTTGACAATAGAATTTCCCTTAAGTTGCATTTTAAAATATTTTGGCAAATGGCATAATTCAAACTTGCTTCTTCAAATTTTAAATTTAAACTTTACAAAAAGTAGCTGCATTGTATTGCTTTTACAACAATAAAAAAAAACTTTTTTGACATTCTATTATCCAATCACACGTAACAATCTAATGAGCCTGTTATTTAAACTGTATTAATGTGCATTAACTATGCTTTGATAGACAGTATAGGGTACTTAATTTGTAGAAACATTAACTGCTACTCTTGAATTTCTTGAAATCTGTACTCTTCTCAATTCTTCATTCTCTACTTTCTGATAGAAATTAATCCATCATGCTTGGTGGGGAAATTTCTAGTATTATATAATAATCATATTATTTTCTGGATTTTTCAAACAAGAGGTTATAGATCAAATATATCAACACAGAAACATTTAATATTAATGAAGATTATGTAACCTGCCAGGATAGTCCAGCAACAAGCACTGATAATAGCACACATATAGAAACTACCATTAATGATACTACATACACTTCCTCATCCATCATTGATAAAATAAACATGTTAATATGCTCTCACTTTTATTTTAGGGAACACTCACTAAATATACAGATACAGATCCCACGGCAAAGACCACAAATACCAAAAATCAACACATCTAAGGTAGTAGGAAAAATACTAAATTATGTAAACACTCACATACTACCACACTACAATCGTTTAATTTCTACACACTTAGACATTCATACATTAGTTTATGCTGGGGCACTCACAGTAGTGACAAACCATTGCCTGAAAATATAATTGCAGACAGATACACACAAAACACAATTCTATCACAAGTCTACCTGGCAAATGTTATATTATATGTTGTATAATGCACAAGACTGACAAAACTTAAATTATTATTTATTACTACTAAAGAGGAGACACTCGTTATGGACTGTATGACAGACGACAGACGACTTTCGTTTTTTGTTGGCCGCTATGTGTCGCCACCAGTACATATCGTAACACGCCTCTTTTTTTTTGAAAATACAAACATTAACAATATATACTATGTTTACAACTTTTGTGGACTTTCATCATTCTCAGTAAACGAAAATCTGCGAGGCTTATTTATCTGCCTGCCCGAGCGGGTTGTCAGAACACGGGGTTGAGCTGAGACAGGTTCAGTTATTTTGTCAGGTTCTGCTTGACTATTTGCCTGCTCAGGAGTAATTGGACTAGATGTAGGCATGCTGTTAATTGTATCTTCTATTTTCCAAGTTGGCACTTCTGTTGTTCTAGGAGTCTTCAATAAGTGATGTCTGTTTCTTCTATAGTGAATTCCATCTGGTGTTTTAATGACATATGTTCTGGGCATCGGGCCAACTTTGACAACAGATGCAGGTGACCATGGTTCTTTTGGACTCTTTTTATAGTATACTTCATCACCTTCCTTTAAAGGTGATAAGACTTTAGTGTGCTGGTCATAATAGGTTTTTGCTTTACTCACTTCCTCTGCACGGATTTTGTTGTAGTGTTTTATATCTATGACTCTTGGCCTCAACACAGTTTCGCTGACAGGGAGTTTCATTCTCAGTGCTCTAGACATCAGGAGTTGTGCTGGAGAATATCCACAAGGCAAAGGCGCGTTTCTATATTGTAGCATTGCGATGTATGGATCTGAATTATTTTCACGACACTTATTAAAAAGATGTTTAATAGTGCCAACAGCTCTTTCAACAAGACCATTGCTCTTGGGATGGTGTGGACTTGATGTTCTGTGAGTTATGTCCCAACACTTTAGGAATAATCTAAATTCTTCTGAATTGAAGGGTGGACCATTATCAGAAACAATGACTGCAGGAATTCCATGACGCGAAAAGATTGCTTTTAGATTTGTTATGACCAGCTTAGCATTATTGGAACTGACTGAGACTAATTCGAAATATTTAGAAAAATAGTCTATGACTAGCAAATAAGTAATATTATTATAATAAAAAAAATCTATGCCTACTTTTTGCCATGGCAGGTTGACATGCTCATGTGGAATAAGAGGCTCTGCATTGTTTGCTCTTCTGAATTTAATGCAAGCGTGACATTGTTCTACTTTGTTTTTTATATCGACATTTAAGTTTGGCCAATATACAACACTTCTTGCTTGTCTTAGACATTTTTCAATGCCCAAATGACCTTCATGAATAATGTCTAATATTTTGGAACGAAGACTTAAAGGAATTACAAGACGACGACCTTTAAGCAATAAACCCTCGATGACATGGAGTTCTTAACGTATATTAAAGTAAGGTTTTAATTGACAGTCAAGCTTGTTTCTTGATGTAGGCCACTCAGTAAGACAATATTTCATAATGATTTGAAGATCTGCATCCATCAGGGTTGCTAGTTTAATCTCCTCTAGACGTTCAGGAGACACTGCAAGATTAGTCATCAATAAGTTGGCATGTATACGGAGATCCTCCTCTAGAGAATCCTCTACGTCGGGTGGATCTACTGGAGCCCTACTTAAAGTATCTGCTATGAACAGGAATTTGCCCGGTTTATATGTAACACTCAGATCATATTGTTGCAGATTCAGCATCATACGTTGTAGACGCACTGGCACTTCAGACAATGGTTTCTTAAATAATGTCTCCAAAGGTTTATGATCAGTTTCCACAATGACCCTATGACCGTAAATATATTGACGAAATCGATTACAACCATACTGAATTGCATACAGCTCTTTTTCTATTTGTGCATAACGTGACTGACACTCTGTCAATGACTTTGATGAATAGGCTATGGGTCTGTTATTTTGTAGTATGACTGCACCAACTGCCGCCTTTGAGCTATCCACAGACAATGTTAAAGGCTGGTTGGGTTGGAAATAAGTTAAGACTGGTGCATTGCTTATTACTTCCTTTAATAATTGAAACTCTGACTGCTGTTTCTCTGACCAATGAAACGCTATATTCTTTTTTAACAATAGACGTAGGTTGAAGGTTTTATCAGCTAAGTTATCAATGTAAGATCCCAAATAATTTACCATTCCCAAAAAACGTTTAAGTTCCGTTATATCCTTAGGTGCTGGTAGGTGACATATTGCACTAACTTTAGCTGGATCAGGACACATTCCATTTTGGCTAAAAATGTGACCTAAATACTTGACTTCTTTCATTAGAAAATGACACTTATCTTTATTAAACTTTAAATTAATTTGACGAGCTTTTTCAAGGACTTTTTGCAGTATCTCGTTATGAGATTCTAATGTTTGACTATAAATCAGTATATCATCAAGATATATCATGATTCCTTGTATGTCTGAGAACCAATCAGTCATGATTTTGTGGAAAATTTCTGGAGCACTTGACACACCATAAGGAAGACGTTTAAATCTAAATCTACCAAAAGGAGTATTAAATGTAGTTAACTTCGAACTGTTTTCACTCAGTTTTATCATCCAGAATCCAGACTGTGCATCTAAAGTTGAAAAATACTTAGCACCAGCTAATTTTGACCTCAGTTCTTCTACAGTTGGTAATGGATAATGACACCTCTTTATTGCTCTATTCAGATTTCTTGGATCTAGACAGACTCGCAATGACTTATCTTTCTTTTCAACAATAACAACTGAATTTACCCATTCGGTAGGCTCACTTACTTTTGCTATAACATCTAAAGACTGCATACGTTCCAGTTCTTTTTTAAACCTTTCGTTTAACATAAACGGTATTTTCCTAGGCGGTTCTATCACTGGTACTATATCTTTGTAAACGGATATTTCATATTCTCCTGGTAGACAACCAAGACCCTCAAATACATCTTTATACTGCGACAGGACTGACTCATGATTATTGATATTAAATACTCTTTTGACTAAACCTAGTCTTTGGATTGTAGGTAGCCCTATAATGGTCTGACTATCAGTATTAGTAATTACAAAATGAATACTAGCTGACAAATTATCATTGATTACACCATTGACTAACACCACTCCCAAAACTGGTATATCATTTCCTGAGAATGACGTAAGCCTTACAGCCGTAGGTTGTATTTTTCTAGCAATTTTTAAACTTTTATAATTTCTTATTGACATTACATTAGCCTGAGCACCCGTATCCAAATTACATTCTAACACTTTGTTATTAATCTTAAGTTTTAGGATCCACGGCTCACTTAACCAATTGTTATTACTATTAATAGATCTAATGACAAAGAGATCCGACTTATTACTATCATGGTCGCGATCATCACTAACATTAACATATTTTACTTGTCTAGTACGACAACATTTCGCATAATGACCTACTTTGTTACAAAGCTTGCAGACAGCATTAATAGCCGGACATTTATTTCGGTGTACCTGTCCACAACGCGTACATAATAATTGATTGTCCTGACCTGTTTGACGAAACCTTGAGAACTTTGACGATAACGACTCTCGATGACCACCTAAGACTGTCCTCCTTCCACTACTTGTTGCTTTATTTTGTAGATTTCCACGACGAGTGCTGTTGTGATTGAACTTTTCGACTTTGAGTATCTGTGCATCACTGTTCTTTTCAATCTGCTCCGCCTGACGATGAGTAATTTCGATGCTTTTGGCTATGCTGATGGCCTTCGTTAAGGTTAAGCCTTCTTCCTGAAGTAGCCTAGCTCTGATGACTTTATTATTTGACGACAAACCTACAATAAACATGTCTCGGACCAAACTCTCTCGGAGATTATCGAACTCGCACGTTAGGCTTAGGTTCTTTAGTGCAGTTACGAAGTCTTCGATTGACTCGTCTGGTTTTTGTCTTCTGGTCAAAAAATTATATCTCTCAATCGTGAGATTAGTTTTAGGTTTGCAATGAGACTCAAATTTTTTTACTACATCCAAATATTGACAATTGTCCATATCCAAGTTAAAGGAATTGAAAACCTGTAACGCGTCTTCTCCCACAAAACGTAAAAATATGGCGACTTTACGGGAATCAGTTTCATTTTCTAAATTACTAGCGCGCAAAAATATTTTAAATTTCTGATACCAGATTGACCAGTTATGAGCTAAATTTCCTTCTAATAATAACGATGGAACTGGATTGCCGGATAGTTCCTGTTGACCACTTAAACGGGATAAAGTTAAAGATGGCTGACCTGCGTTACTGACCGGTGAACTCATTATTTCGAGCTGCTGCTAGTAGGAAAACGACGACGACGACTATAATTCTGACACCATGTTATATTATATGTTGTATAATGCACAAGACTGACAAAACTTAAATTATTATTTATTACTACTAAAGAGGAGACACTCGTTATGGACTGTATGACAGACGACAGACGACTTTCGTTTTTTGTTGGCCGCTATGTGTCGCCACCAGTACATATCGTAACACTAATAACTTTTTTCAGCGTTACTTTTCCCCTTTTCCTTTATACTTCTCCTTTCAGAACCTTTCCTTCAACCTATTCTTTACTCCTTTCTCTTCGTAGTGGGTTAAGTTTGCAAAAGCAGACAGCCATTCCTCCTCCTTTATTATTATTATTATTATTATTATCCTCTTATTTTTGACCTCTTATCCTATCGGTGTAAGAGGTCAAAAAGTTTGAGAACCCGTTCTACAGTCTACTGATCTAGAAGTCCATTACATAGGTTTTATAATGTGTTGATATACATAAAAGAGAAATAAAAAGGCATTTGCGCGTATCCCAAAACTTAATCTATGTGAAAGCAATGAAAGAAACCATTTATTTTTATAAAATTAATTAAAAAATTTTTAAATATCCAAATATTTTTGATTATTTAAATATTGATCTGAGCGATCCGAAATCAAATCCGAATGGTCGAAAACCTCAGGAATTTTTCATAGGCAGTCCTTGTTTATACAGAAACCCCTCGATTTAACGGAAAAAAGTTTCTGTCCAGGAAAAATTTAACTTTTTTATACGTGAATAGAAGATGCGAAAAGGATGTGAAGAACAATGCCAGTCAATGAGTATAAATTATTCCATGTACTGCACATTGTTTTATTCATACTTGTACATCATAATATTTTAACACATCTGCACATTTTAAGTTCTTTTTAATACGTTTTAAAACACATTCGATTCAGTAGCGTCAGCCGCCCGGGGCGGAGGAAAATCTCACTGCCCCCTTATTTAGGTATTTCAATTTAAAAGATTAAAATTCAGTTTTGTCACAGAATAAGTAATGAAAAATTCCGTGCTCATTTCAATTGGTCCGAATCGTAGGTGCGACAAAAATATGAAGTGAAATGGCTCAAATTTTTACAAGATATTATTATTATTTAAATTGTGAAATTTTGCCGCACCACTACGCTACGCCACTGATTCGATTTAACAGACTTTCGGCAATAAAAATGACCACAAGGCATTCTAACATTATCAATATACCACAACGCCTCACGGCCGTTTCCTGTTTATTCTGTACTAGAAAATAAAAAGTTTATGACTAATATGTGTAATAAGCAAGAAAAACAGCCACGCTCAATTATTTTTGCAGGAACTATTTGAACGACACTTAAAATAAGTTGATATCTTTCGAACGACATTTGCATTCTTTATCGATGAATTGCAGCTTACAAAGCAATGCTTGATTCAAGAACTTTATATTTGAGATTGATCGCAGTTGAAATTAAACTTGAGAGTACTGTATATCATTTACTTCAATGAATTTGGCAGCAGTTTTAAATTTATTGAGTATAGAGCCAGTCAAGTAGGCCTTACTCTCGTCTCCCAACTGATAAAAGTCCAAACATGTTCGCTGATGTCCGACCAAAAACTGATGAATGACTGAGTTGATTTTGAACTGGCCCCGCTCTTCTTCCTCAATGAGGTTAAGTTGGCAGATTATTGTGCGCGAGGTAAAAATGCCGCACTTGGTTAAGTAGATAGTGCTGAAATGCTTTCTAGTTATTTTTATAACAGTTCAACACAAACTTCGCTTAGTGGCACTTTTAAAAATAGCAGATGGCGTGGTGGCTCCTTATAAGCAGCCAGGTTGCAAAATTTCTTGTGGATGTTTCTGTAAAGACACAAGGTGTTCTGGTTTTTTTCCACTCATTCAGTGTTTTTGATCTTTGATCCTAACATAATTGTATGTATATAAACAAGTTTATCATATTCACATCTTTTTCCTGTACTTTAACTTTTTCTTCATTTATTTATTTATAAAAGTAAGGAAGGCTGGGCCATTGTGCCCCTTTCTGGTTACATTACTGCTCAAAAGCACAGACAATTGATTAAGCAGTTTTGAATAAAATTTTATTGCATATGAAAAATTTAGAAATTTTTTTTTCTATTTACAAAATGTCTGATTAATATTGAGAAATCTGATTATTCTAATATAAATTAATAGTCAATAACTTACAACAAAATTATTTATTATTTAAATAATTTCAACAAATTTTATAACTATGTACAGTACATTTGATATATTGTATATAATTTTCTAATTAAACTATGGCCCTATATATTTCAAAATTCATGCAAAAAAAAAAATTGTATGGACTTAAAATGTTTTTCTTTGTTTTAAATGTTATTTTTTGAATGAATATTGAAATATACTTCTTCTTAAAAGTTTTAATGTTTTAAAGTAACTTTTGATCACTTTAAAATTATATACTAGACACCCAAAAAACACTAAATAAATTAATATAGGTGTTTTATTGAAAACTAGATTATTGTCTGAAACCTAAGCATTAGCAACAGGAGGTGGTGGCGGCTTGGTGAAATCGTGAACTTCCCAATCATAATAGGCTAAGTCGCGGAACATCTTTAAATCATATGCCACACGATCTTCGATGTAAGTTAGTTTTACTCCTAAATCTTCCAAATTTGGTAATCCTGGTGTTAAGGTATCTGTAACATGATCCTGAAAACAATCATTTAATTACAAATATAATTTTATAATAAAATCTAAAATATAAACAAAACATTTCTTACTCTTTCAACTTTCTCCCAGCTTATAAATGGATATACTGTCATAATTCTTTCAACAAAGCTAACTTTCAACCTTTATATCCAAGAAAAAAGTAAAGAAATAATTAAAATTATGTACATTTTTACCATACCTTTGAACTTTTAATACAAATTGATAATATATTTAGTTACCAAAACAAAGGACTAAATCTCATATCAGTTCTCTTATATCCCCAGTCTGGTCCTTTTTTCAGTACTAGGTATACCCAATCAAGCAATTCTCCTAAGAAATATCTTCGAGGTCTAATTTTAATGCATATTAAATTATATGAATAAAATTATTCATAGTATATATAGATAATAATAGAATAAAGAGAATTTGAAATTAAAAGGTGGGAAATGATCACTTTACTTTAAACATTTTACATACTATAGAATGCCTTACCCAACAGCTTCAAATGTCTTTCCAATAGCATCATCATCAAATACTGAATTAACAATTCCTTTAGCAACATCTGACACAAAAACTGGTTGTTTTATTGTTTCATTTCCTTTCTTCCATAAAGGAAGGCTGCGAATTTGACGTCTCCCTAATGATAAAAGTAATTAATCATTACCTTCAAATAATTTTATTGTAAAACTAAAATTTTCAGCAAATGTGGGAAGAACTGCATTGATGTCTGTCTTATGTTCATGCTACGCACATTGAACATCTGCAGAAACCAAAACAAACTTTCAGGTTGCTATTTTTATTGTTACTTTCTGCTTCAAGAAACTTTAGTGTGTGTGTGTGTGTGCGTGTGCGTGCGTGCGCACCAATGTAAAATTTCAAAGTTCTTTTAATTAATTCTTTTAACATATATAAATTTTTAAATAGGCACTAAGAGACCTTTTATCAGACCAATCAGGAGTTCAGCCAAGCCAACAATCTCATTTAATTTTATTAATAATTTAAATTAATTTCCAAACATGTTAAAATAAATTATTTTTTACAGAAAATTTTAAATAATTTTAGTACACAGATTTTAAAATAACTTACACGTTTTTGCATAGTAAAACAGAAAACGATCTGGTTGACCAAACATATCAGATGGCCGAAATATTATTGCTTCTGGAAATTCTTCTCTTACCGCTTGTTCGCCTCTCCACTGAAATAATGTTTTAATAAAATTGTAATATTAAACTTAGATTTAATGACATCACAACATCTATTATAATTCAAACAAAAGTATTGAAAACATAAATCTAAACACTAACTGAAAATTTTATAAGACATTTTTAACCTGCAATGTAACTTGTGATTATTATGTAATTTTAAAAGTGTGTTAAACAAAACATATTATGTCTGTAATATGTAATATTATGTTAAAAATACCTGCAAATATGAAATTGAGCTGTTAGTTACAAAATTAAATGTTTTTCATAATTATAATTAATTAATTGTTATTAATATAATTAATAACATAATTATAAGTCCATACAGAGTTTAATTATATATTTTTAATTTCAACTGATAATTCTCCCTTAAACTGTTTTTCACACACAATTCTTTCTTATACCTTTCATATCTCTTACCTATATCTCTAGCAAATTCCACCTGTTAGTATTTTTGCTTAAAGTCACTTCATTAGGATTATGAATATAATATACAACAAGACGCTAAAATTTTTTAAAATGTTTATAAATCTGTTTTACATATTAACTTTTAATTTTTGATATTTATTACAATACAATATACAATACTGTATTATAATCAAGACTATGTTTTCAGTTGGAATATGAAAGTACACTATATTGGCAGATAATATAAAGAGTATTGACAGCCAATACATATGGCAGATGTTCATTAAGAAAAGTTCTATATGTTAGGGCAATGGTGACTGGTACAATAAAAACAAACAAAATGAACTGAAGGCCACTTATCAGTCATAACAAATGCCATGGGCTGCTTGGAGCCAATGTAAATAGCAAATGGGATGGAAACCATCTTTCACTGGAGGGCTTCTTTTGATGATGAACACTAGCAATTGTCTGTTCCCATTACATAATGATATTTACAACTTATCCTCACATTTCTGACTATATTATATATATACTTTACTAACATGAAATTATTTATTAAATATCAGTGTGATTCTTAATTAATAAACATTCACATAAAAATATGTTATGGATTATTACTTAAATATATTTTGGAAGTTGTGATCATTAATTTGTAATATTAGATGTAATGAATAGATAATATATGATCTGATGTGTTGAACTAAGTTGCTTAATTTTTTAAAATTATATCTCCCTGTGTGTGTATTAAGAAGACATTTTGATGAGTGGCTAGATGGTGAAGTATGGGAGCACAACATATTTGGGGTAGACATCCCAAAAAAATTCCTGCAGTGTCATTCATCCAGATTCAATCTGTCTGCTAGAAGACTGACACTTTAACAGTCTTGGTAATCTGGTCAATTGCTTATTCATTAAGAATGATTTTGTCCTAATAATGGAACTTTCAGTTATTTTTAGTTCATACTTGTTTTTCTATTAATTTCATACATTTTTCAATATTTTTCTTATTTTTGTCAATGTTTAGAAACAAAGACATTTCTCCAGACTGACTTATCTCACATATGCAAACTCCACTAAAAATAAACAAAATATGATTAACTATTCCATAAAACAAAATAATATGAAATTAATTATGTAATCTTTTTAAAAATAGATATTTGCATCTAAAAAATACTTTCTATCACTGTAAATAATGTAATGATTTATATTAACAATGTCTTCATAATACAAAATATTGTATAAAATTGTATTGTTTTGTACAATATTTTATACTAATGTACTGATATGATAAATCCTTCAAGTGTTGCTGTCACACACAGTTTCCTTTAATATTGCTTTTCTATAATATTAGTATAGAATTTTTCTATTCTTATGACATTTTTTCATTTATAATAATTTCTTCTATAAATGTTTTCATCTAGAATCTCAAAAGGAAATTATTTCAGTTTATTTTAAATACAGTAAAACCTCGATTTAACAAACCAAACTTCAGATTCAACAGATAAAATTTCTGGTCCTTATGTCATATACAAAAATTAACACCCTATAAATTTTTGAATGCATTTTATATGTAATTAAATTAAAAGGTTATTTTTTCAAATGCAAAAGTGACTGCTCATAAAATGTATTATCCAAACCATGTCTGTCTATTTATTTCAGTTTAGATTATACACTTGTTTATTACAGTCTTAAAACTACAGTCTTAAAAGCAATTTTACATATAGAAAACTTTTCTGTGAAATTAAATTTCTCACAAATAATTAGTGTAATTAAGATTAACACATACACATAACTAAAAATGAATAAACTGACTAATTCCTCAATTTTTTAACACACACATTTAGAAAATCCACTTTATTATATAACAGTCAACTTTAATGGATAACCCTCACCTGAATTACTCTATTAAATTGAGATTTTACTGTAATTATAAATAAAAGACTAGGAAAAAAAAAACAAGTTATTAAATGCTAAAGACAAAATAAAAGATAATAAATCATTTTATTATGAAGAAACACAAACAAACTTATAAAGACTTATTTTCTATACCAAAACAAATATATAATAAATATCTACAAAATTTCAACATTTAATGGTAAAGTGAACAGATACACACTTTTTACTACTGCTTACTGGAGTTCAACCTTTTAAAATTGCACTTTTAGATCTTTTTTGTTCATAATCAGAGTTGGTTTGGTTCCAATTCTGATGATGGACCAAAAAATAAAAATAAAAAATGCTTAGTGAAAAGTAATTTTAAAAGTTTGAATTCCATGTAAGCAGTAGTGAAAAGTGAGTTTGTCGGAATGGAGTGTATAAAGTCAGTGAAGAATCAAGTCATATACACTGGAAAGTGCATTTAACTATCATAAAGAAATAAATAATATAGAAAATAACTGCTGATGAAGAACTCTTCAGGGAAGAGTTACTGGAATAAATTATCTGAAAATTAACTAAAAAAGAATACTAAGATAATATAGAAACATTTTAAAATGTTTGATGCTTCAGAAGATTCTAAAATAATAATGATTAAAATAATTCAGAAATATACCAGAAGATCAAAGTATATTGCATTATAAGTATAAACATCTTCAATTACTATATAAAAATATTTTCCTTGGTTATAAGAATTTAACCCATTTCAAATAATTTTAATAAAAAAAAGTATTTGTATATGTATTTAATTTTTTCAAGAAAAATTATGTAATGAGAGCAAAACATTATACCTTAGAAGCAAGAAAACGAGAGCCTGATTTTATAATAATTGGTTTTGGCTTCTCACATGCATTGAGTGCAGACACATGAATTAATTTCTTCACTCCCAATTCTTTTGCTATGCGAGCAATGTTTCGTGCTCCTGTCACATGTACATCTTCAAAACTGAAATTTCTGTTAAGGAAAATGAAAATTTTTATAAATTTAATTTAAAACATTTTTGTAATATTGATATTTGTCCATTCATTATCAATACTGAAAAATATGAAAATAAAAAAAAAGCAAAATTTATTAAAGTAATGTATACATTCAAACTAATTTCAAAATTCCAGGATTGTTTTCCAATCCTGGAATTTTGAAATTAGAATGTGAACATCAATTGTTAAATTTTTAAAATTATTAAAACATGCAAATTCTCTTTTCTTCTTAAAATATGTCTACTTTATTCAAGTTATTTTCAAAATAAATGATTTTTAATAATTAAGCCTAATGGAGTCCCTAAATTATTTAAATTTATAATATTCAAATTTTCATGAAAATTTTGTATCAAACTTCTAGTTCTTCTGCTATATTGAAATCCTAATTAACACATGATATAAGAATATACAGATAAACCTCTTATATATATTCCTATAATTTGTGTTTTTCCACAATTTACACCATATTTTTCTTGTCCCAATTTTTTCTTATAATTTGTAGGAAAATTTTTGAATAAATAGTATTTCATAGTTTGTACATTTCTTCCAATTTACACATTTTGATTTTGAAAATTACAGATTTAATCAATCACATTTTCAAAAACAAGAAAAAATAAATTAAAATAAATTTTATTTATTTTTTGATATGTAATGTGTGTTTATTATAAACAGAAAAAATAACGTAGACTTAAATATTTGAAAATATATAGTATTTGGAACTAAAATATTAAGCAAATATAATAATTTTAATTATCTGTGTTAGAATTAAATTGATTAGTTAGCAATATTAGTACTTTGAAAATGATTACATAAATCTGAATTCTAAAATTAAAATAATGCAAACAGCATTTTATATCAAATAGTTTATAAAAAAATTACATAGTCATAGTCATTTTTGGCTACTATTAATTTTTAAATGTAATAGTATTTCAATATAATATTTTAGCTTAATTTCATTTTATCTTATTTTGTCTTTTATAAATTCTCATTTGTTGCAGTATTACCTGTTTTTTATATGTTCTATTTTAAAATGATTTTTGGGCTGCAATTTAAAAAGTTGTAAACCTAAATTCCAAATGTTGTTGTCTGTCTGTCCTTCCTTAATCTTGAGAATGGTGTTTGATAGATGAAAGTCAAGACCAGATATGGAAATTTTAGGGGCAGGAGGCTGTGATATACAAACTTCCAGTGGAGACCAGAAGTCACATGATTCAGAAGTCACAGAAGTTCAATTCGAAACTTCCCCTGAATGTACTTACACAGCTGACTGCCATGACTCTGTTGTTATCAGAAAAAGTATGAGGTACAGGGACAAGACACTACTAATTTGAGATGGAGAACATATACAGTATTTTAAATTATATAAATTAAAAATATTAAAAATTGCAGTGTGGCATTGTGACATCATCACAATAATTTGTTTTTACATTCAATAAATATTCATAATTATTATTTGTTTTTACAAGGATGTTACACTGTGCTGGGGAGTTATTTCTTGCCTATGGCATTACCTTTGTAATCAATTAAATAAAAATAAAAATTTAATAACAATAATTACCTTGTTTCTGTTTCTTTTCCAATCAAATTTATAACCAAATTTGAATATTTCATTGCTTTATATAGTGATTCTTCATCTTTTAAACTGAAAGGCTAAAAAGTAATAAATTAATAAGATACATCAATTATATTTAAAATTTTTGAAAATTTTTTATATGATACACATATATTCTTTAAATACAATAGAATCTATATTTTAATCACAGATATTATCATCAAAATTAGCATACCCCAAAACACAAATTAAAATACATTTACACAATTTTGCTTATTGTGGTCATTATTGTTACCTTCAGGTAAATAATCATTTTTAAGCTGTCATTTCCACTATAATAGCTCAAGATATGGCTGTTAATGTGTAATCATTATGTTTTCAGGTGTCCTAATCAATCCTAACTAATATTTTAAATGTTAAATGTTTATCAATTTAATGTTTATTTACTTGCAGTATAGTAGTTAAAATAGTTGGGATTTCTTACTTTAATTATATACTAACTGTTACTAAAGACAGTATTAAAAAAAAAAAAACAAACAGACACACAATATTTGTGCAATTTAGCTTCAATTAAAATGATAAATTTATATTTATTAATTTGATAATTATAATAAAGCACTTCAAAAATTGATCTCTATATATATAAAAATGGACGTGTGTGTCCCTAGATTTCACTTTTCAGCCAAAACTACACATCGCACACGAATGGTGTTTGTATGTGGTAGTAGCCCCAAGTCTCCATTCATGCACTATGGTGGTTGCATCTCGATAGCTATAAGGGTGCAGGAGATATGTGGTTGAAAGTGGAAGATTTTCTATTTCGATTTTAAAAATTTTCGAATTCATATTCGAATTGGTTCGGTTATAGAACGATTGTAAACGTTCCAGAAAATTGATCAAATTGAAAATAGTTCGTTTGACTGGACGTAAAAATTCTCTAATTAGTCTGGAGATGGGGGACCTAATTCTTGATTCTGTGAAAACGGGTAAGATTGGCTATAATGTAATTATCTTAATCTTCACTATCATTACTTTTTGCCCACAAATAAAAACCCAGCGAAGCAAGTCCTTGCAGCTAGATTCTAGATTACTAAAAAAAAACAGTTTTTTATATATAACAAAAACTATTTTACATACAAATAAAAACTCAGTGAAGCGGGTCTTAGCAGCTAATATTTGAATAATTTGAAAACTAATTAAACATATTTATTGTCAAAGTCAATGAAGACAGAATTTCAACTTATTTCTTTGCACAATGTTATTAGTCCATTATTATTATTATTATAGATATGTTTTGTGAGTTATACTCGATTCACACCGGTGGCTATGTACTATGCCAGACCAGAGTCAAGGCATAGCAACCAAAACAAACCTAAAATTAAATAAGTGTGTCAGTGTCACTGTCTGTATTCAGGAATTTCCTAACAATGTGGCATGTATTCAATATAGTGGCCTTCTGTAGTGTGATGTATGTATTTCTACTCAATTGTAAAGTTCCCAGGCTTTTGTGTAGTGTGTGTGGTATCACACCTGTACAGGAGAGAACGACAGGTACAATAAGCACCCTTTCCATCCTCCACAGATGCCTTATTTCCTGGGCGAGTTCTGTGTACTTGCTAAATTTTTCAGTGCATGTGTTTTGTACATTGTGAGTGTTTGGAATGGCTATGTCTATAATGTATGTGATTTTATTGTGTTTGTCAATGAGTGTGATGTCTGGTCTGTTGTGATAAATTGTTTTATCAGTGATTATGGCTCTGTCGTAGTACATTTTGTGTGTGTTATTTTCCAATACTGTCTGTGAAATATACTTGTAGTATGGCTCGTGAATGTCTACCAAGTTGTGTTTCTTTGCAAGCTCTTGGTGTATTATATTTGCTACTTGATTATGTCTGAGTAAATAATCTGTCTGTGCCAAGAGCTTGCACCCAGAAGTGATGTGTTGTATAGTTTCTGGCATGATGTGACATTTTCTGCATGTGTCATTTGTGAGTGTTGTATCTTTGAGTATGTGTTTTCTGTAGTTTTTAGTATTTATGACCTGATCCTGTATGGCAATCATGAATCCTTCCATCTCCCCAAAGAGGCATCCCCGATCTAACCAGCTGTTTGATGCAGTTTTGTCAAGAAAATCCTGGGCCAGGTCATAAGGATGCTTGCCATGGAGTGCCTTTTGAGCCCACAATTGCTTGATGGTGTCTATGCTTTTTATGTGTTGTGTCATGTCTGTGTGTTGTGAGTGTAAGTTTAATGGTGTGCTATTTAAGTCTGCTAGAGTTACTGCTTTATATAACTGTGATGTTTCTTGTTTCCTGTAGAAAAACTCTCGCAGTGACTGTAGTTGTTTGTAGTGAAGGTTAACTATGTCAATCAGGCCACGTCCGCCATCTTTACGTGGAAGGGTTAATCTTTCTGTGGTGGATTTAGGATGATGATGTTTATGCTTAGTAAGTGTTGTTCTTGTTTTCCTTTGGAGTTGCTCGAGATCTGTGTGAGTCCAATGTATAACTCCAAAAGAGTATGTGAGTACTGGGATGACATATGTGTTTATTGCTTTAACTGTGTGTTTTGCATTTAGCTGTGTTTTGAGAATGGCATTTAACCTACTTTGGTATTCTTTAATTAGTCTTTGCTTTATTTGTGTATGTTCCGTTAGTTTGGCCTGTTGGAATCCTAAATACTTGTAGAACTCACCCTCTTCCATAGATTCAATAACGTCTCCATTTCCAAGTGCAAAATCTTCTTTCTTCAGGATTCCTTTTTCTATGTGAAGTTTTTTGCATTTGTCTAAGCCAAACTCCATTTGTATGTCCTTAGTGTATGAGTGTGTGATTTGTAGGAGTTGATGAAGTTGTTTCTGTGTGGATGCATAAAGTTTTATGTCGTCCATGTACATGAGATGGGACAGTGTAAACTGTGTTGTTTTTCCATGTCTGATATTGTAGCCATAATGCGTGTTGTTTAACATGTTGGATAATGGGTTCAGGGCTAGGCAGAACCAGAGAGGACTCAAGGAATCTCCTTGAAAAATTCCTCACCTAATGAATATTTCGTTTGTTTGTATGGAAGTATTACTAACTCTGAGATGCAGTGTTGTTCTCCAGTGCTGCATAGTGTTTTGGAAGAATGCAATGAGTGATGAATGTATTTCGTACATGTGTAGAATATGTAGCAGCCAACTGTGTGGAATACTGTCGAATGCTTTTCTGTAGTCTATATATGCCATGTGTATGTTTCTGTGTTGTTTGTGTGCTTGCCGTAAAATGACTGAATCTATGAGTAACTGTTCTTTGCATCCCCTGTGATTTCTACGGCAACCTTTTTGTTGTTCTGTAAGAATGTCGTGTTCTTCAACATGTTTGTATATTTTGTTTGTGATACAGGATGTCAATAATTTGTAGAGTGTTGGAAGACATGTAATTGGTCTGTATTGTGTGGGGTCTGTGGTTTTGTTGTTTTTAGGTTTCATGTAGGTAATGCCCCGAGTAAGAAATTTTGGCATGTCTTGTGGATTGATGATGATGTGTGTTAGATGTTTAGCTAGTTCCTGGTGCAGTGATGTAAACTTTTTGTACCAGAAATTGTGAATGTTGTCTACACCAGGTGTCTTCCAGTTGTGTGTTCTGTTAACAGCGTAGCGAATGTCGTGTATGTTTATTTCAGCACAGGGCATACTTGGTATGTTATGCAAGTTTCTGTTCTCCTCCTTGATCCAGCCTGCATCAGCATTGTGTGTAACAGCATTGGACCAAAGAGAAGACCAATAAGTTGTGAGTTCTTCTTCTGTTGGTGTGCCACTGTGCTGTGTATCAGTGTTTGTTTTGGTACTGATTTGTCTGTAGAAAAGTTTTTCATTGTTTGTGAATAATTTATTTTGTTGTTTTCGTAGTGTACATGTTTTGTATCGTTTGAGTCTACGTGCTTTGGCTGCGAGTTTTTGTTTTAGTGTATCGATGTATTCTGTAATGTGTGTGTTGTGATGTTCATGTTTTGTGTGTGTTTTAATTTTCTTGAAAATGTTTTTGAGTTGTTTCTTTAATTTGGGTGTTATGTTGTTTTTAGTGTATTGTGTCAGCCTGCCTAATTGCTGTCTAATGTCATTTATTTGTGTTTCTATTCTTCTCTGCCAGGCAGGCTTATGATAGAATTGTGTTTTGTGTGTGTCTGTCTGTGAGTGTATTTTCAGTCCATGGTGTGTTACTACTGTGACTGCCCCAGCATAAACTAATGTATGAATGTCTGTAAGTGTAGAAATTGAATGAATGTAGTTTGGTAGTAAGTGAGTGTTTACATAATCTAGTGTTTTTCCTACTGCCTTTGACGTGTTGATTTTTGGTATTCGTGGTCTTTGTGTGGGATCTGTACCAGTATATTTAATGAGTGTTTCCTGAAATATAAGTGAGAGCGTATTAACTAATTCTATGTCTACGTTATCAGTGATGGATGGGGAAGTGCCTGCAGTATCATTAGTGGTACTTGTTGTGTGTGTGCTGTAATCAGTGCTTGTTGCTGGATTATCCTGACAGGTTACGTGATCTTCATTAATGTTAAATGTTTCTGTCTGTTGATGTATTTGATCAGCAACCTGTTGTTTGATAAGTTCAAGTGTTGTTTGTGGGATAAGGTTGTTGTGTATAATTGTTCGTTTTTGATCAACAACCCTTTGTTCGGTGACAGTGAGGTGAGGATATTGTTGTGTGAATCTATGGTGTAGTTGTTGTCTGTATGCTGTCATGTTTGTTTCGAGTCTTGTGATGGTGTAGTAAGTGCGGATGATAAACTCGTTCATTTCTGTTGTCCATTTCATCCGTTGGCGTGGTTTTCCAGCCTTTGTGGTCTGTGGATGCATTGCCACAGAAACACCAAGGCTAGGTTGATTCCTCACATCTGTTGAGGGCATTGCAGTAGCCATGCTTGGGCCGGCGCTGCTTTCGCCACCGGTAACCAAGGGAGACTGGAGCCTATTTTTCGAACGTGAGCCTCTGCCTAACCCACGAACGCGGACCTTGTTAACCCGGGCGACGTCCGAGCCGGTATCATACTTAGATCTGGTTACTACCATAATGATTATCTCCACAGAATGTGGGTGTGTAGTCACTCTTAGCTTCATTTCTCCCCATAGACCTTACTGGCATGGGTGTCCCTACCAGGAGCTTGTGCTCCAGCCTGCATTGCCCTATGGATCAGTAAAATTACTGGGCTCTCCCACCACGACCAGGTGGTGACCACGGGAGAGTTATTATTATTATTATTAGTGTAAACAAATCTCAAAGTGATTAAAATAAACAGATTTTTCTGTAATTTGATTCATATTTAATATTAAAAATATAATACTTATATTATATTAAATTATTAATATATTATACTATCATTAGTTAATTTACAGACTTCCTTGCATGAAGTTGTCCTTAGAGGAAGCAGACACAATTCAAAGGCATTCAAAGGAAAATATGAAGTCTATAAATGCCAAACCTAAGGACATACTTGATAATTCAGTTGAAGGAAATTCACCATCTAGGACCTTTATCTATGCTTTGAATGGTAAGAATATTGTGATAATCTAGCCATTGACATTCAAGAAAAATAACTGATATCATCATCTCTACATACTGTTTTTTAGTGTTGAAAAGAGTACAATTACAGATTTAAGTACTGAGAGATTAGGTGCACATTCACAATCAAGGATTAAGAGTTAGAAGTGAACTAATTACTTTTCACTTTACTTTTAGTATATGAAAATTCAACTCTTAATCCTTGATTGATATGAACATAACAGAAACAGTGTAAATTTTACACAAAAAAGAATAATTTAATTATTCTTGTATATTTTGTTTAACATTTTGTTCTTGATGCATAAATATCATTATTTCAAATTAATTATATTTATTTCATGTTGTTATATCAACTGACTCATGTATATAAACTAGTATAGCAATGCTTATTAAACCAAACAGGCAGAAAAAGGCATGCCAAATAAAATCTGCTGGTTGTTCTGAACTGGAAAAAGTAATATGGAAAAAACATTCTGAATTTAACTCATACTATGAAACTGAATTTGCATAAAAGCTTTCAACTATTGAATAATTATATGCAAATGCATTTACAACACCAATATTTGTGAATAAGGAATCTGTAAAACCAATATACCAATATCAACAGATGTTTTCAAATACTTTATAATTTTAAGTTAAAAAATAATGTAAAACTATTCTTTCATAAAAAGTTTAAATTGTTTATCAATAAATTTTTATGTTAAGGATGATTTAATCATTGATTAATATCATCATCAAAATTTCCAAATAATACTTACATGAAATAATATTTGACCTAAATCACCACATAATTTCAAATTACCAACATCATAATTGTCTCCTCTATAAGGAATAATTATTTGAGTACCTAATTTACCTAAAATTATAATAAAAAATAATACAAGTTGTTAATATCATTTAAAAATCAAACATGTATAACAAATTTTATTTATTATTACAACCATTCTTGATATAAGAGAAATTTAAAAATTTACTGTTAAATATAAATTTTAAATAATAATTTTTATTATATATTTCCAAACTTATTCAGATTCAACCAATTACTCAGAACTGGGTATATTTAATAAACAGAGCAAACAAAATCAATTTTTAGCACAAATTTATAAGAAAGCAAACACTTTTAACTGTGTTAAACAGGCATCTTCAGGTAACTGGGGCATCATTACCCCTCTTTTAATATGTAAACAGCAATCACCTATTCTGAGTAACTTTTCTGTTTGAATTATTTGTTTTAATGGCTGAATTCAAACTGCAAAGTTCAGTTAGCCTAAAGATGCCCATTTAACAGGGTTGAAAATGTTTGCTTTCTTATAAATTTGTGCTGGCTATTAGTTTAATTTGCTTTGTTCATTCAGATTCAATTACTTAAAAGTAATGAAGGAAAATACTTTGTGAAGTGCATTTAAAAATTAAGATTTTGAATGTTTCTAGCCATATTCCATACTCTCAGAAACAAATATTACAAAAAATAAAAAAAACTTGCATGATTATAAAAAAAAACCATTTTTAAAATAAAGAGTAGAATGCAATACAGAAATAAAATATATTATAAATAAAGTTAATTTATATATGAGCAATGTATACATCAATTAATTTCATTTATTACAGTATTTTCCTTGATTTTTAGTTGAATTTATTCATATATTAATGAGTAGAGCTCTTCATAAGTCAGAAAGTGTTTCATCTGTAATTGAAGTTTAAAGAAATAGCATAACTATTAAACATGACTTTTTGCAAATATCTACAACTCGGTAAGTGGATGTTGTGATGAAACCAGAGTTTTGAAATTTGACTTCTGGGCTGAGATATTCAAGGTCAAAGCTCACCATGTAAAGTCTATGGGCCAATTGTAAGTTTCAACACAATCATTAAACATGAGTTTATGCTAATACAGTCCATTCCTAAATGATAGAGCCACTGTGAAATAATGACATTCAATGAAATAAGTAACTTATTGTGTAACTAATTTCTGTGTAGACAAAATGGATTTTAATGTCACTACTGGATGAATGTAAAGTTTCATAATTTAACATTTAATCAGTCACTCCATGGTCCAACTACTTTAACTGTCCCCTGATTTCCTGTAATTTTGCTGCACAAACAGTTATTTCTTCCTCTTTGTATTTGTTTGCTATGAACAATAAAAAACAACAGAATAAAATTGATTATTGGTTTATCATGTTATTGTACAATAATAATTTTACCAAAAGCATTTATTTTATTATTTTATTACTGTATTTTTAACAACATTGTAAAGGATATATTTGTCCCAAAATGAGTGTCATCTCTGCTTTAGCAGTTATATTGCAATTAATATGCAAAATAGTACACAGGATAGTATAAAATAGAGGGCTTTTCTGCAAAATATACTTTGAGAATAATTTTGCAAAATATACTTTGAAAATAATTCTGCAAATTATACTTTGAAAATAATTCTGCAAATTATACTTTGAGAATATATGATACATTAAAGGTTTCATCTTGGAAAGAAAAAAATCATTTTCTCAGTTTGAATAATAAATAACTGAACTGTACAAATTGAAACTTTCAATTAGAGAAATTTCTAGAAAACTCATCATGTTGTGGCAAATCCACATCAATTCTAATGGAGAATATGGAAGAAAAAAGTTATCTGAAAGACCCTCTGCACTGAATTTCAGTCAAAAATAGTAATTTTCAAGAAACTTAGCAATTCTATAACGGGTCTGAGATAAATTGCATCTCATCAAGCCATATGTGTGTCAAAATCAACAGTATAGAGTTTTCAAATCATCTATGAAATAAGGAAATGAAACAAATTCTCAAATTCTAAATAAGAGACACAAATAGAAGCTTTTGGCATGGACTTAATATCACATGACATCGATTGATAAATGGCAACAAGTTGTATGGAGTGATGAGAAGAAATTCAACAGGGATGGGCCAGATGACTGGAAAAGCTATTGGAATGATATTAGAAAAACTGAATAAATTAAGTCAAGACACAGCAAGGTGGTGGAGGTGTTATGATGTGGTATACATTTCATGGAGTGGTATGACAAATGTAGCTTTTAACTCTGGTCATATTATTTCTGCAGGATATCAGCAAGAGCTAAATAAGCACCTTACTCAATTTGCAGAAAACAATTAGATGAAAGTTTTTCAAATTTCAACAAGAAAATGAACTTGCTCATAATGCAAAATCAAATTGGGAATGGTTTCTGGCAAATGGTATGTATGTCATGAACTGCTCCTCATATTCTCCTGATGCCAATCCTACAGAAAACTTACTTTGTTTCTTAGAAATGAAAGTATATAGGAATGGAAAGCAATATACATCAGTGGAATCATTAAAAAGCAATAACTAATTCTTGGAAGGAAACTTCAGATGAAGAACAGGAAAACCTTATTAAAACAATACCAGAGAGAGTTTATGAAGATCTTAAGATTTTAATAAGAAGAATCACTAAAAGATAACTAGAACAGATAGAATTTAGAAAATAATTAATAAACAAGGTCCACTTATTGTTTTTTAAAAATAAATAAAATCATTTATTATTTAAGTGTTGAAGCAGCTCTATCATTTTGGGACAAATATATCCTATACAACATTGTTAAAATTCATTTATATTTTTATTTTATTACTACTTTTTTCATAAAATTATTATTATTATTTGATATTGTAATAAACTGATAGTCAACAAGCATATAAAATAATAGAAGAGAATGTTTTTTATTAATGTCATTATTTTGCAATGTCTCTATCATTTTGAAACAGGTTGTATGACTTGGTAAGGCTAATGTTGTGATGAAGCTGAATTTTGAAATTCAATCTATGCGTTGAGATATTTGAGGTCAAAATTTGCCATGTAAAGCCTATGGTCCAATTGCTGAAATTAAACTTGTCATACTAAAACATATCGATTGAGCTTATGATTACTGTCAATTTACATTGATGACAAATTTTTATTTTGATCTTTATGACATGCATTTAACACACACAATGTGGTAACAAAATCAATTTTTGAAAACATGCCCATGTGCATGTTTTACACATTTCTTCAAGTTTTTGTTGGTTATGATGTTAGGCATAAAGAAAGTTTACAGAAAGCAGATGTCTACAGAAATTTAAAACCAGTTTTGAGGGAAGACGTTGCAAGTTCTCCCTCGAATCTGTGGTTTTAAATTTCTGTAGACATAATGTTACAAGCATATCTGCACGTTGGTCTTTCTGTGTCAAGCCAAAAGAATAAATCCTGGCCATGGAGGTTATAAATACAAGGTGTATTCTGAAACAGGAATACACTTAATATTTATAACAAAAGAAAATCTACAAAATCCAGAAAAGATTTTTTAAGAATATACGGGATGAGTCAAAAGTCACTTCCATGCTTTTCATTTCAAAAGTACTGAAGAAATATTAATTTTATTAATATAGTTACATAGAAAGTCTTGAATGGAGAATTAAATGAGACCTGTTTTTGTTGAACTTGAAAAGCATTTACTTATGCTGTAATTTTTTTAATGAGCAGAGGTAATGTAAAAGTTCCAATGACATAGTTAAAGAACACATTTAATTAATCTAAAACATTTAGGACTGCATAATTTTCAACTTTAAATTTATGAGGAGTAAAACAATTTTGTTTTACATGATCTTGAAGATCATTTTAAAGGTCAACAGAAAGGTCCCATCTGATTCTCCATGTATGACTTCTCATATTAACAAAATTAATACATCTTTAGTATTTTTGAAATAAAAACAGTGAAAGAGACTTTTGACTCACCCCACATTTATATTTATCATGTAGATTGTTAAAGACAAATTTATTTGTTCTAGCATTGGTACTATTTATAATTTATATACTAACTTAATTTATTGCTGTCATTCTGTTACAAACATATATTAAAAGTACTACTCAAACTGGGTATATGAACACTACACAAAATAACCAATATCCAGAAAGAAAAACTACAAGAAAGTAAATGGTTTCATCCTTGTTAAACAGACATCATCAGGCTAAATGTTCTTCACAATTTGAATGTAGCTGTTAAAACAAACAATTCAAACAGAAAAGTTACTCAGAATAGATGATTGCTGTGCATATGTTAAAAGACAGGTGACAAGAGGGAGAGAGGGAGAGTGAGGGAAGAGAGAGAGTTGCAAGACTAAACTTTGTAGATCAATTTCCTTGTAGGAGAGGAGAGGAAGGAGTCTATATCTAATGTTGATAGCCACATTTTTTCTTGTGGATTTGTAAATTTCTAATTGTTCTAAATATCTAAGCCATTCTTTGTGGGAGATGCTATGTTGAAGGCATGCTCAGTCAAAATGCACATCTACATCAGGATCAATGGAGTATGCACAAGCTCTTTCATGATGAAAGCCAAATATTCTTTAAAATGGATGTTTAAAGGTTGCCCTGTAGCACCCACATATTCTAAGTTGCAATTGCTCTGTGATCTGTAATGGTGATAGTATGTACACCAGGTTAGAAAGAACAAACCTACAAGAAAAAATGCAGCTATCAAGTTTAGAGATGTACACTCCTTTTCCCTGCATGGAAGTCAAATTAGAAGTTTAGTCTTACAACCTTCTCCCTTTCCTCTCTTTTTTACATCATCCTTCTTTTAACCTTTCAACAGTGGAATAGTCAGGCATGGTGCTGTCCCAAAGTAGTAGAGAATAAACATGGGAAATTTTTAAAGTACTTTTCTATGCATTTTTTCTCATTGCTGTTTCAGAAAAATATTTTGTAAACAGTTATGTCTAGTAAAAAAAGTATTTTTTTATTGTTACATAATTCATTTTTCAGGTGAATTTTTTTTTGCAGTAGTTTTTGACGATACTCCCAAAAGAATTTAATGGATATATCCGTCCCTTACTGCTGAGTAGTTTTAACATGTGCACAGCAATCACCTATTCCGATAACTTTTCTGTTTGAATTGTTTCTTTTCACAGCTGCATTCAAACTGAAAGTCAATTAGCCTGACAATGCCTGCTCAACATGAATAAAAACATAGTTTTTCTTGCTGGATATTGGTCATTTATACAGTGTTTATATCTATTACACTCATATTTTATTTAACAAAATATAATGAATTATATAGAATAAATAAATACAAAATGCATGATTCCAAAAATCTGTGACTTATTTTGTGTAATCTGTCTGTAGGTCAAAGATTTCTATTTATGTTAAAAATAAGCAGAATAAAAAAATTTAAATCAATGGATATTTTTGGAGAATATAAAAATTTATTTTAAAATGTATACAACTTAATTATATCATTTAATGAATGGTTCTTTCTCCATTGTATATTAATTGGTTGTGTTTATTTAGTTTTACACTAGTTATTTTTATGTTTTGTTTTTGGAGAAATCTGAAAAATGGTACAAACTAATTGTCTCTAAGATTTAGTTGATGTAATAAATAAAGAATATTGATTGAATTGTACTAATTCTTATTATTGTTTATTTTTAAAGTGTTTTATTGTTAAATAGGAAGTGGTTCTTACCTATAGACGTCATCAATGTAAAAAAAATATATATATATATATATATATATATATAGTTACCAGTTTGTACAGTTCAAAATTATTATAACATAAGTACAGTTTATCATAAAGTTCCATTTTGTTTCTTATTTAATAACCTTAAATATATTAATTCTGTACCTAGTTGATTTACAACACGTCTTCCCAAGATTCCATTAGCACCAAAGACAGTAGCTACAACACCACTAAATGAAGATCTTCCTCCAGTTCCTCTTTTAAATGAAGCCAAGTTTTGTTCTGATGAGTAATTCCTTTTAAACTGATGAGGAAAATAGATTGTAGTAATGATTGGTAGTTGTCCTAAAATATTAAACAATTGAAGGTAAATATTTTAATTCAGGATAGAAATTATTTATCTAACCTATACTTTACATCATAATATCAAACATAATTACAAAAGTACTTAAAATAAGTTGTTTATCTATATAAAAAGAACTTATTCTTCTATTTTAGATAATGTTAAGAATTAAAAATTGTAAAACAGCAACCACACAGAGGGTTGTATATAGCAAAATATAACCTACTTGAACCTATAACCGGTGCATACAGTTTAATCTGCCAAAACAAACATTTTAACCCTTTCTGGGTTATTCTTCAGGTAAATCACCTGGATCAAACACGAATACGAAAAAATTTGAACAAATCCAAACGCTGTTGAGTTTGAATTGTTTGGTTCGTTTGTGTATTCTGTCACGTGACATGTTTGGAAGTGCTTGAACTTAACGATCAATGTCCAAACGCAAGGGAAAGTTATGTCAAAATACATAACATACGTGAGAGTGAGATAAATAATTAACAACGATCTCACATGTTCCCCAGTAATTTTTCTTTATTCTTTACCATGTAATAAATAGTATAATGCTTCTCTCCATATGTAGTAAGTTCTACCATGCCATGGAGAGGCTAATCTCGTCTCTTGTATTAATGCATGAGGATGTGTCATATGCCTTAAAAATTTCCATCTCCTCTAACCATTTCAGGTGGTCAATGTGTGGTGTGGTGACAATTAATTGTGCTCGAGTGAAGTCCGCCACAATTTCAGGATCATTTGCATAAGTGGAGAGTGAGGTGGTGCATCTATTGCATTGTATATCAGAGATATGCTCTTTTAACCTAACCCCCAATGAATGTTTAGTCGATCATATGTATACCAAATCCCTGTTAAACCGGTTATCCCTTAGCGAGACTGTATAGATGCCTGATAATCTCTCCATATTGGATCGGTCTTTTCTGTTATGTAAGCGAACAAAGTACTGCATCTTCTGTATGTCAGGGTAACCTTTTGTTTTTTTGCGATGGTGCTGTATAAAGACCTTAAGAGGGGGTTGAACATAAGAGGTATCCTCATATTTTCCATCCTCGTGCTATTGCTTTGCCCCACTGCTGTAATGGTGGAAGAAGCCTGCACCTGTTTATGGTGCTCCGAGATTTTCCATATCATATTGTGGTAACCATGGGACCTGGCAATGCCTTCCAAATATTTTAACTCTTCTGCGAGCGCATAATGCATAGAAGAGTGCATGTAGGCTCGTTTAACCAATGCCCTGGTTAAACAAGAAGGGGTTAAGAAAACGTTCGTTTTGGAAGGTTAAACTGTACGCACCGGTTATAGGTTCAAGTAGGTCATATTTTGTTAATTTAAAATTGTATTGACTTTTTAAGTTTATTCAAATTCAAATTAAGTTTTTGCAGTAATGTATGCAATATTACATTAAGCTGGGAGATTATATACGCCAGACAGAGACAGTAAAGATAAAATATGACAAAGTAGTGTAGCCTGTCGGAAGCTTATAACACAATTTACAGAGGAGAGGAAAAACAAATCTTGAGAATATTTTCTAGACTAAAGGAATAGGAAAGTTTACTCCAATAAATCACTAATGAAATAGTTATCATTCTAAAAATGTTTCAAAGTTTCTCTAATAAGAGAGAGAACAGGGAGAGAGCCTCTGATAAGAGGATCAAAACAGAAACCTCCTAGATTTTTTCATAATAAAAATGTTTATTTGGAAGACTGTCTATCTTAATGAATTAAAATAAACTATGTTAACATGCTACATACAATTATATAAAAATATATGATAAGATTAATTTATTCTACACCAGGGGTGGGCAAGCAAGAGTTCAGTGGGAGCCGAAATGTAGGTTTTGCAAAATGCATGAGAGACGCAGTTCTGTACTTTTTTATTCTGTACCACAGTTCTGTACTGCGATTTTATTATATAATATAAATATAATATAAAACAAATATTAAATTTTTTAAATAAACATATTTCACAAAATTGTGGAAATAAAATTGTAAAAATAATAATAAAAAACAGAAATTAACACTTTCAGCAAGAGCCGCATGTAACTCAAAAAGAGCCTCATGCGGCTCTCGGAGCCGCATTTGTCCATGTCTGTTCTATACGATGGGTATAAGAAGTCATTGTCTCTGCTATTTATGCAGATATTGGTAACAAAATGATTATAAAGGTGCATTAATTTAGTTGAGTAACCACAGCAGCTAGTTTATCCTTATTACTTTGGTTTTTATATCATGAACTGTTAATATATAAATAAAAATTCAATTGATGTCTTTGCTACATCTAAGATAAATTCAACAAACAAATTATGGTAATATTTCTTAATTTGGATAACTGCATAAATATAACTACATATATTTAAATAAATTTCAAGACAAAAATAAAACAGTCAAATTAATAAAAGTAAACAAAAACAATTTTTTGTTTACTTTTATTATTATTTTTATTATTATTGTTCATATATATAAAATGGCCACAAAGTCCCTCTGCATTAAATTGGGTCCCGAATTAATTTTTTTTATTTTATTTGTTTTGCAAAGATCAGTATGACAGACTCTGATGAGTGTGCAATGCCATAGAACGGTAACAGCCAAATCTAGCCGTAAATATAACCAACATATCACTTATAAATGATAGAAATAGACCTACTTTTTGTATATATGGAACATATAAACATATTTGTGGCCACATATTTACAACTGTTGTGCAATTTGGTCCATCAATTGTACAGTTTTGGCACCATTGCTGTAATTAATTATGTTCATAACTACTCCATTTCACCTTACAACAAGTTAATCTTACAACAGTTGAAGGGTCCCTTTAATAACTTGGCGACATGATCAATACTCAGAATGCAAAGAAAATTCATAGGTGCATAAAGTAACTTGTAATTAACATACATAGAGACTTTATTTCCACTCGGTACTTAATAAAGTTTAACCTATCTTTTAATTCTATTAGATATATAAATGCATCAAATTAAACATCATATTTAACACAAAATCCATTCTAATGCATAACTTGCACATTATTCTACAAATAGAGCAGAAGTTACTTTTAGGTAAGTTGTGTACACATGTGTAAATACACAAATTATCTAAAGTTAACTTTTATCAGAAATAGAAATAAGTTAAGGCAGTGAAAGTATATTTTTTCTAAGTTTAATTTTACGTAACTAAAATGTCTATTTCAGTAACTACTGTTAATTTAAAGTTAAATTTTAATGCATATTTACTAGAACAACCCCGAATTTGTAAAATAACAGCAGCCATCTTATTTCGTTGGGGTTTTTTTTTTTTTCTTCTTCTTCTTGACAACAGATGGCAGCAAATATACTATTAAATATAGCACAAAAATAGCCAATAAATAAATTCTATCAGCGTCGGTAGATTAAATTACAGTCGACCCCCCTATAACGTACGTTCCTATAACGACAATTCCTATAACGTAGCGAAAAAATTGTAGAAACTTTCGTATAAAGTACCTCCTATAACGTCGTTTCGCGACAAGATTGATAGAGTCTGGACCAATAGTGGATGAGCAGCCGAACTACTTTCCTCCGACCCTGCGCCACGCTACGGAGCGGCTAAATTGAGTTTGCTATCGTCTGTTTAGTATTATATATAAATTAGGTACTGTACATATAATTATATATTAACTTAATTTATTGTAACTTTATTATAATTATATATATGCTTTCTGCCGCCTGGCAACACGCTACGGAGATTTTAGGCTAATAAGTTGAGTTTATTATCGTCTGTACAGTATGTAAATTAGGTACCGTAAGTCTAATACAGCACTAATTTTATACATTTCTTGTGAAAGAAACACTTCTTATTCAACGGCCATAAAAATTATTTATATTAATGATGTCTCCAAAGTTCAACGAAGTCTTCGCAGAAAAATAAGTTGTTAGAAATCGCGGCAGCCGTTTAATGTGCTGTTCCGCGATGAAAACAGCTTTAAGCAACGGCGTAGTCGAACGGTACACACTCGGTAAGTAATCCTATAATTTTTTGTTTATAGCGTAGTTTATACGGATTATTCCCAAAAAATTATACGTGTTTTGGAAATGTTGAGTGGAATTAGTCTAGAATCGGTTAATTTTATAGAAGAAAACCTTTCAAACAGCCTTAGTCCGTAAAGTTCCCACCTATCGGGCTGCGATTGGCTCATGTATTTAATCATTCCTACAACGTAATTTTCGGTTAGCGTTGAACGTATCTAAGCGTTATAAGGGGGTCTACTGTAATTAACTGGTCTTTCGACTACTTATCTTCAGTCGTTGCTAAAATCAACTAGAGACAAATATTACCACTAGGAGCATTGCAATCACTTCAAGAGCGCTGGATCGAATCGCTGTGAGGTCGAATGTTTTCTTTTTATTGAAAGATATACATTACATACATTTAGTGGAGCACTCCCTCTGACCTGTAGCATTAAATGCTACTGGCTTGAGGTATTCCTCTTTTAATTAACCCTGCTTCGCATATGCTTTGCAGGTAGTTATGATTATATAGTCGCGGTCGTAGCCGCAATATTTTAATACCCGACAATTCTATTTTTTACATTAATTATATTTTTGTTGAGTAAAGTATTTGTTGTCATTAGTTTGACAATGAACTATGAGAGAAATTTTTATGTTCTGTTTTTATAACAAGTTTTTATAAATTCATTGAAATAATAATATATGTTAACATTATTTATAAGGCTACTTTTCCTAATAGGCCAATTGTAACCTTCTTTATTACAAACTAATTTTAACTCGTTTCTTAGTTTTTCATATTGCATACAGTCAAATAAGATGTGTGTGGGTGTTTCACTTACCCCACAAATCTCACAGTTTTCATCATCTCGATGATTAAATCTATAATGATATTTCGCAAAATCTCCATGTCCTGTCACGAATCTTGTGAATTTGTGTCCAATTTGTAGATGTTTGTTATTTAACCTCTGCTTAATATCTGGTATGTATTCAGAGCTCCCTTCCTTTTGTAGTTATTTCCCACCGTTGTTGCCACTGTAATATGTATCTTGTGACTACACGCCATATTTTAAACCATATGATTTGTATATATATCTTCACTTCACCTTCGTTTGTCCTATTTGTTTACTCTTCTATAATGTTATCGTCTTCCCATTGACTTGAGTGTGTGGGTGGACTGAGAGGAAAGGAATGAATGGAAGGCTTTTGAGAGGGGAAATGAGTGGACTAGATGAGAGCAGGGCCGGCCTTCTCTATAAAGGGGCCCGAGTGCAAGAAACTATTTGGGCCCTACATTTTTTGTAAAATGAAAAAAATTACAAACACGAACATATATTAATGCATGTTTATTTAAAGCGTGATTTTGTTCTTGCTAATACACGAATTACTTCAGAAAAATTATAATTTTTTAATTTCTTTTTCGATGCTTAATATAGCAAATGCATTAAGCGTTCTGCACACATGCTGGATCGAAGATAATTCTTTATTAATTTTAATTTGCCGAAAGAGCGCTCAGCACTTGCTATAGTAACTGGCAACGCAAAGAAAAGTTTTAATACATTTAGAAATAACTCATTATAATTATTATTTAGTATGTATTGTGCGTTATTTACATCCCTTTCATTCAAAATCAAATCCCGTAGCAAACCAATTTCCTGGATTAGGTTTTCATCTATATCTTTGTTATAATGGAACATTTTTCTAATTCATGTTTTTCTAAGGTTTTCATATCAGTGATTAATTTGAAATCAGAAATAATATTTGGTATACTTTTAAATCTATCTTCTATTTGTACAATAACAGTATCAATTAGAGTGTTAAAAAAATAACATCTAAAATTCCTCTACCGGGTTTTCTAAAGCTTCACCTGCTATTTCGGAATATAACCTTTTCCTTTTTCAGGAAAATGTTCTGAAATATTCAAATTACGTGCTAGCACTTTTACTTCGTCTAAAAATGTGTTAAATTTTGGATTTCAGTTTTAATTTTATTGACTAAATTAAAAGCCGACTCAAGAATAATTGTTTTTGCTTGAAATAATATTGATAGCGTTGATTTTACACAACATTGCAAACCATACTATTAAACATAAAATAAATGGCATTTCTTGTATTGAATCCAATAGACTTTTAGCTTCGGATACCGCTGTATTATCGTTACTTACATAAATAAATTCTTCTAGGGCATTACAAGTTTGTTCAAACTGTGTATATGTTACTGTGAATGACCGATATCTGGCGAATGTCAACATTCACACAGTCGTTTCGTGTATGTACGAAATA